ATGTTCTTCTATAGGAAAAATTTGCTCCAACAAAAAAAAATATTATACGAAAAATTGCCCGTGATCTAGAACCAATTTTGAAATACTTATGCGTTCAAATTTTGAAATACTTTGACAATTTCAAATTAACAACATGCTACATGCACGTCGGCGAAATCAACCACATGTTATGTCGTGTTTTAAGCTCCCGCTGTCAACCACATGTCATGTCGTGTTTTAAGCTCCCGCTGTCTCTCTGTCGGCTCTTAGATAAACATATAGCACGGTTTTGGTGGGGGACTGCGAATGACCATTCTAAAATTCGATGGATGTCATGAAAAAATATGTGAAGAAGCAAGCATGATGGGGGTATGGGATTCCGTTGTTTCGAGCAGTTTAATCAGGCTCTCTTGACCAAGATCGGGTGGCGTATCCTTAATGAACCCGATTCCCTCTTAGCGCAAGTCTATAAAGGGAAGTACTTTCCCAATGGTATGTTCCTCACTGCTCAAGCCCGGTCCCGTCCATCCTGGGGGTGGCAGAGTATCCTTTTTGGTAGAACTCTGCTTGAGAAGGGTCTTCGGTGGTAGATTGATGATGGCCAGGCTGCTTCTCTTCTGCACTCCAATTGGATTCCTAATTTGCACCCATCAGCCCCGGTGCATAATCCTCAAATTCTTCCGGAGGGCGGGGACCCTTATGTGGCGGAGGTTTTGTGCCCCGGGGAGGGGCGGTGGTGTGACACCAAGCTGGGGCAATGGTTTGCTCCCCCTACCTGTCGGGCAATTAAGGCAATTCCCCTTCCTCGGCATCCGGTACAGGATAGGCTTATTTGGCATGATACGGCAGATGGTCAGTTTACTGTTAAGTCGGCATACCATCTTGCGGTTCTTTTGGATAAACGGAAGGGTGGGTGGTGCTCGTCAGTGAGCTGGATGGATAGGGCAAGCTGGGTCCGTCTTTGGGGGGCGAATGTCCCACCAAAGTTGAAGGTGTTCCTTTGGCAGATTTTGAAACGGATCCTCCCAACTACGGAAGCTCTTATTGAGAGAGAGGTTCAGGTACACCCCAGATGCCCGGTGTGCTGGGCAGAATCGGAAACGTTGGAGCATCTCTTTCTCTTTTGTCCAGTGGCGCGGGCACTTTGGGACCTCTCGGGGTTGGAGTTTCTAGGCCAGGGTTTGCCTACCCATACTTTCCCTCTGTTTTTGAAACGAGTAATGGCTCTCATTCATCAACCGGACTTGTTAATGGCGTTGGTGGCGGTCCTCTGGCGGATATGGCGCTCTCGGAACTGGGTGGTTTTTGAAGGAAAACAGTTTGGGATCCCAGCCTTGATGCGACAATTTTACCAGCAATATGAGGAGTGGATAAGCTTGCCAATGGATCGAAGTCTGCCTCCGCATACCACGTCTATCCCCCCGGCTTCCCCGGTAGGCGATTCTAGGGTCGTCTGCCTCTGGGATGGGGCTACCAAGCATGGTGCTCCCTCAGCTGGTGGTATGGTGCTTATGACCTGGAACCATGATCTGTTGCTGGCTAGGGGGGTCAGATTTCCTGATGTGGTGGACCCGATGGTCGTTGAACTTCTGACCCTTCGGGAGGCTATTGGCTGTTGTTTGGGACTTGGGTTTGCGATAGTTAGGTTTGAAGGAGATGCCAAGGTGGTGATCGATAAGATTAATTCGTGGCAGGCTAGTGATAACCGGGTGGGGGCTATTCTAGAAGAAGTTTTACACTACTTTGATTCTCATCAGGGGTTGGGTGTACGGTTTGTAGGTCGGAATAACAATAGGGTAGCCCACATGGTGGCTAGGAAGGCCCTTTCTTTGTCTCCGACTATGAGTCGCGTTTTTGATTTCCAGGACTGGCTGGGAACCATGATGTAATTATCTTTTTTTGAATCAATATACGATTATCTTTTGTAAAAAAAAAAATACCTTTGGGCTTTGACGGGCGGTATAACATTTGCCACAAGTAATTATAGATTCTTATCCAATAATTAAAAAAAAAAACGAATGTATACCATAGATAGAGACATAAACGGCGTACGTAGTATAATAATTCAAATCTCTGGCTATATATGAACCATACGTTCTCTGCATCTTCCATACTTCCAAAATCACGTTCACCCTCTCCGGCTCTAAACAATGGCTTCCTCGAGTGATCAAGCTCACTGTTTTATCATCATAATTGCCACCACCACCACCCTCCTCGCTCTTTGGCTCACCAAAAAAATATTCATACTCAACAAAAACCCATCTCCGGCGAACAACCCCAAACTCCGCCTGCCACCGAGCCCGCCGGCGCTGCCGCTCATCGGCCACATCCACCACCTGGCGTCGGCCCAACCCTTGTTCAAAACATTCCACGCGCTCCGCCAGAAGTACGGCCCGCTCCTCTACCTCCGCCTGGGCTCCTATCCTGTCGTCCTCGTCTCCTCGCCGTCCCTCGCCTCCGAGATCTTCCACACACATGACGTCAGCTTCGCGGCGAAGCCCGACTCGCCGCTCGAGGACCGGCTGCTGTACGGTGACTCGGGGTTCGTGACCGCTCCCTACGGGGACTACTGGAAGTTCGTGAAGAAGCTGTGCGTCACGGAGCTGCTCTCCACGCGCCAGCTGGACCGGTCTAGGAGCGTGAGGCGGGAAGAAGTGGAGCGGCTGCTCAGGAAATTGGTGGCCAAGAGCGAGGAGAAGGCCGCCGTGGACTTGAGCGTTGAGCTCATGAGTCTGACTAATAACGTCACATGCAGGTAACAATCACGTATGCATATATATATGCTAACTAAAGCTTGTGACGGCCCATTCATGGATATTTTATGTGCGCGAAAATTCAACGAAAGACTTAGTAATTAAAAACAGTAATTGAAATCCTTCAAAACAACCTAATTCAAAACAAAAACAAAATTTTATCTATATTTGTGTATGATGACGACTTAGTTGTGTCATCGAGTTAGTCAACTAATTTGTTATATGCGTTGCCTTAATTAATTTTTGCTCCAAATGGTATATGTTGCGGTGAAAAATCCATATCTCGCCATTAAAGAAAAATGAAATTAATATTTATTACACAACTTCAAAAATTGTAATTGATATTGTAATTGATGTATGTTGTAACTACAAGTTGTGAAATTATTATATTTATTATGAAGTGAATCAAGAACGATTTTCATAATCCGATTAGTGATCATTGTCAATTATTGTTGGGTTGTATACATTGAAAAACATTTGGATTGCAAAATAATTAAGGAATGTATTTCACAACCTTTTCGTAAGTCGTTGTACCTCGTCATAAATAACCATAAAATTTTGCACTTCATAACTTAGAGTTTTATAGTTTTTTATTTATTTTTATCGGCTGACACACATCTCAAAATATTTTGGGTCGTGCTTTGTCGCAGGATGGCGATGAGCACAAGGTGTTCCGGGGAGGACAACGAAGCAGAGAGGTGCAGAAAGTTGGTGAAAGAGTCAAATGAGCTGACAGCCAAAATGCTGCTGGCGCATATGCTCGGACCTTTCAAGAGAGTGGGATACTTCTTGCTTCGGCGGCAAGCCAAGGAATTCCCGGCGAGGTGCGACGAGATGCTCGAGAGAATCCTCATGGAGCATGAGGAAAGATCGGCATCATCAGCTGCCTACAGCTTCGACTGTACGAACCCTGATTTGATGGATATTCTTCTACGAGTGTCCAAAGATCCAGAGGCCGATATCAAGGTCACCAGAAAGAACATCAAGGCCTTCTTCTTGGTACGTACGTTGCTAATTCACATAATTGAACTTGTGGCAAAACTTGAGAATAATTGATTTTTTACATGGTATTAATCTTCTATGATCAAAAGATATTCTGTTGACTGTTGGATTCCTGACAACTCTTATTTGTTAAGCGCATATGAGTTGGATTTCGTTTTAGGGTACAACCCACGTAGCTTACAAATGCATTTTATGTCGTCATGCACCTACAGGATATATTCATTGCAGGTACCAGCACAACAGCAGACGCAATGGCGTGGACGATGGCAGAGATCTTGAACCATCCAGCCATATTCAAGAGGGTGAGGCAAGAGATTCACGATCTAACCAATGGAAGCGGCAACAACAGGTTGGTGGAAGAGACAGACATTCCAAACCTCCACTATTTACAAGCCGTGGTGAAAGAGGCATTAAGGCTACACCCTCCAGTAATGGCGGCACCTAGGGTTTGTCGCGAAGCTTGCAGGGTCGGAGGGTTCGACATACCAAAAGGCGTGGCTGTGGCGCTCAATGTATACTCCATAACCAGAGATCCCGATGTATGGGAGAATCCTGACGAATTCTCTCCTGAGAGGTTTCTTCAGGGTATGGTCGAGAAGGGATTTCAGGCGAATGGCTTCGCTGCATTTGGTGGTGGAAGGAGGATGTGTCCTGGTTCGAACTTGGCGTTCACGGTGATATGTTATGCGGTTGCGGCCATGGTTCAGTGCTTTGACTGGAAGGTTGGGAATGGGGAAGATGGAGTGAGAATGGAGGCAGGTTTAGGGATGACTATGAGCTTGGCCAAACCACTAGTTTGTCTTCCCCTGCTGCAGGTTTGCTTGGATCAATTTCAGATGGAAGCTTCTTCGCTTTGACGAGAAGTAGTTCCTTTTATGAAATGTATCAAAATGGCATTTGAACATAACGAATCGGACCAAATGTAATGTTTGATTCGATTATTGGTCCTATTTAAAATGTCTTTTAATTTGCATCTACTGAACTGCGGTTCTCATGTCGCATTAGATGGATCCAGACAATAAGATATGGGTCTATATCGATCGCTCATCCTTTTGCTAGAACGTTCTCTTTCATAAACTATATAGTCTTCCTTAGTTTTTTTTTTATTATAGAAATCTGCTAGAACTATTATTGATCAGCGGACTCAGTTACATTGTCAATGATCAAACGATCCACCAAAAAGACAGGGGTCTATCGACCCAAACAACACTCTCATTCCAATTTGTCTGACTATGCGGCATAGCGTACGCAGCTTCATTAGCTTCCCTATAGATGAATCTCCACCTGCTTCCTTCCATCCGATTTAAGATTCGCCTCACGTTCCTGCAAACTATTCATGTTTCCTGTGAAAACATCATCAGCCGCTTGAAGATTTTGCACAACTGTCTGGCAGTCCAATTCAATGATCGGCCTCGGGTAATGCATTTGCCAGGCTAGCTGCGCACCAAACTCCACAGCAAGGGCCTCCGCCATTTCCACGCTCCAATTCCCCTGCACGCGTTTAGCAGCTGCAAGCAGGAACCACCTTTCATCGTTTCGGATAACCACTCCAAGACCCATCCCACCGTTCGGCAAGATGCATGCATCCGTCGCCACCGATGTACAGCCCCTGCCAGGACGCCTCCATCTCCTCTCCTGCGCAACACTCGGGCCTGCAACTGGGGCCTCAAACCTTGCCTGGTGATGTTTATACTCCTCAAGCAGAAGGTGTGCTCGTATAGCTATTTCGTCCTCAGGGGATTTCTTGCCGTTGAACAAATGGGCGTTGCGTTCTCGCCACAGAGCCCACATCAGGGTACACCATTCTTCCAGAGCATCATCCGCCACCATAGCCATCACTACATTGACCCATCCAAAGTTGTCATTTGTTCCTCTAGCTGCGAAGCACCCATTGAGCGGCGAGGCCCTCCAAATCTGTGTCGTCCAGCTACACTCATGGAAGAAGTGGATTTGTGTCTCCAGCATATCACAAAAAGGACACTTATCGCTCCACTTATTACTCCGAGTACTCATATGATCACCTATGGGTAGGGCATCTCGCATAAACCTCCACATGAATTGTTTGACCTTTGGTGGGGTGTGCATTGACCACATTCTCTTCCAAGCATCAACGTTCCCATACAGTCTGAGACCCCTGTCCTGCGCAAAGCCCTTGTGGCACCTCCTATACCCATCCTTCACTGTGTACTCCCCGTTTTTGCTATCATGCCAAACCAGCCGATCAGGCTCTTGCTCATCCCGCAACGGAATTTGAAGAATAGCGTCTGCCACCTCCGATGGGAAGCAGCTCGCAAGCAGCCCCAAGTCCCACTGGTTGGTCAACGGATCAATAAGCTCACGAACAAGCGAGTCAACAGGGAGGCCTATCAGAGCCGACGGGACAAACTGATCCGCAGTGTCGGGAATCCACCTATCACCCCAAATCCGCACCATCGACCCATTACCTATCCTCCACCGCAACCCTACACACAAAAACTCCTGCAAACTCATTAGCGATCGCCAAATGTAACTTGGGTTTCGTCCACAATGCGCTTCAAGGATCGTGGTGTTCTTATGATACTTGGCTTTATAGATGCGGGCTGTCAAGGAATCTGGCCTTTGTGAGAGTCGCCAGAGCTGTTTCGCCAGGAGAGTGGTGTTAAAGCCTTTAAGGTCACGGAATCCCATCCTCCCTCTTCCTTGGGCATCGTTAGTTCCTCCCGGCTAATCCAATGAGCTCGCTTTTCACTACCTTTTTGACCCCACCAAAAATTTGTAATCAGACTGTTAATCTCATCAAGAACACCGTCAAGAACACGGAACACACCCATCGCGTACGTGAGCTGGGCCCGTGCAACCGATTTAATCAAAACTTCCCGGGTTGCAGATGACATTGTCCTTTCCTTCCAACCCTTCAACTTTTTTCTGACCCGTTCTCTGATCTCCATGAATAGCTCCTTCTTTGATCTCCCAGCCTCAGTAGCTAATCCCAAATATTTTTCATGTTTCGACTTTCGAGACACATTTCATCCCCAGAACACCGCCCACCTCCAACCTCCTGTGCATCTTGACGTTGGGACTGAAGGAGACATTTGATTTCTGGAAATTGACAAGTTGACCGGACTCGCCCTCATAGTCATTCAGAATAAGTGTTATGTCCTTACTCTCCTGCACCGTGACCCTGAAAAAGAAAACACTATCGTCAGGGAAAAAGAGGTGTGACATCACAGGTGATCCGCGCGCCGGTTGGAAACCGTGGATTCTCCCATCCCCGACCGCCTTCTTCGTGTACGATGATAGCCCCTCTACACAAATCAGAAACAAATAAGGCGAGAGGGGATCGCCCTGTCTCAAACCCCGCTCAGGCCAAATAGTTTCCGATCTGTGTCCATTCACAAGCACCGAGTACAACACAGAGCGGACACACATCATTATCCTCGCCACCCATCGTTCATCAAAACCCAGCTTCCTCATCATTCCCTCAAGAAAATGCCATTCCACCCTGTCATAAGCTTTAGCCATATCAATTTTATCCGCCGCCACACCAACTCGTCCCTTTTACCGCTTCTTCATCGAGTGACAGCACTCAAAAGAGGCCATAATATTATCGTAGATAACCCGCCCCAGAATAAAAGCGCTTTGGGCAGGATCAATAATTTTATCCAGAATCTGTTTAAGCCGATTGGCCAAAACCTTCACCACCAGTTTGTAGAGAACATTGCACAAACTAATATGCCTAAATTCTCCCGGGCTCGTAGGGGTTTTAACCTTTGGGATCAGCGCAATCAAGGTCTCGTTAAAGAGGACGGGAGTGAACCTCCCTCGATGTTATTAATCACTATAGTTGTGACCTCGTCCCCGACAATCTCCCAATACCTCTTGAAGAATAGGGCCGAAAATCCATCGGCACCTGGGGCTTTACGGGACCCCACATGTTTCAAAGCTCCAAATACTTCTTCCCTGGTGACGGGACACAACAACAGCTCGTTATCCGCCGCACTAATCCTCGAACCCAATGAATCTAAGACTGGGGAATGAGCTGGTGCCTTTGAAGCTTTAAATAATTGTTTAAAGTAGTTGACCAAACACTCCGAGACAGCCTCGGTTCCTAGGTACCATTGACCGCCATCATTTATAAGCTTTATTATAGTATTACGCTTACGGCGAGCAGAGGCTTTCCTATGGAAGAACTGAGTATTCTTGTCTCCACCTCTGAGATAATCAACTCGACTCCTTTGTTTCCAATATTCCTCTTTAGTTGCTTCCAACTCTTCAAGTTCCAATTCTAGCACCCTCCTCTGCGCAAGCACCACCTCAGTTTTGGGAGCCTAGTCAAGCGCTCGAAGAGCTCTGGTGATCTTCCTTCTCTTAAGCCTAAAATTGGGAAAAGCCCCCTTACTCCACTGTCCCAGCAAGTCCCTACATCGCTTCAATCTTGCAAGGGTACCACTCGCTCCTCCTAGCTGCCACGCTTCCATTATCACATTTGGGCATTCCTCGTGCTTTTGTCCAGATAGGGTCAAAACGGAAGGACCAACCCCATGCCGGATCAACATGTTCCTCTCCTAGGCTGTCGTAGACGATCGGCCTATGATCTGATCTTAGCTTATCAAGGTGGAGAACCCGCGCATTCCAAAACTTATCCCTCTAAGCATCCGAACTAACGAACCTGTCCAAAACATCCTCGATATATCCACCCTGTCTTCGCGAGTTCTCCCAGGTGAACTTATATCCTATGTAACCCAAATCTTGCATTCCCACCTCCGTAAGGCAATCATTGAAAGAGCCCATCTCAGCTACACTTGGATTGTTCCCTCCAACCTTTTCGTCGTTCGACCACACCTGGTTGAAGTCACCTCCGCACAGCCACGGACCTTCCCATTGCCCAGCTAAGGATCAAATAAGATCCCAAGTCCTCCATTTCTCACTTCCTTCCGGCCACCCATAGATACCTGAAAATCTCCATGTACCATAGGTATCCTCGACAATTTTAATATCAATGTGGTGTAAAGAGCCAGGCATAACCGTAACTTGCAGTCCTTCCTTCCACCACAAGCTCACACCCCCTGCCCTACTTTGTGGGGTAATAATCGCTGACCAGCTTTCGCCATTTTCAAAACCAAGATCCTTACAAATTTCTTCGTTTTCTTTCTCTGTCTGTTTCGTCTCCATTAAGAAGACGATGTGAGGGGCCGTTTGTCGCAATAAAGACTTCAAAAATCTAACTGCGCGCTTACTCCCCAACCCACGGCAGTTGTAGCTTAGTTGTCGCATTAATGACCTAAATGGGATCGGTTCCCCGCACCATTCAGATTCTTATTTCCTTTCTTGTCCTTTCCAAGCTTTGTCTCATTAATGTGCACAGATTGAGCTCCCGGTGGAATAGCCTGGGGATTTAACTGCGTCTGTTTCTCCTTCTCTACCTCTTTGTCCGGCCTTGGCTCCTGTGCATTCTTTCCACTTTTGCCTGGAGTGGACATTCATTTTTCTTGCTGGTCCTCATGGCTCTTCTTTCCGCCTTCCTTCTTTTGTCTGTGTGTATCCACAGACCCATTATTACTCGGGGTCTCCTTTCGCACTATTGTCTCTTTTCGACCTGCCTCACTCTTGTCTTCACTTTCGCCAATTTCCTCAGATAAAACTTCGTATTGGTTCCCAGGAACTTTATGTGGGACAAGAGCATCTCTCGCACGGGAAGGCCCCGTGGTTGATTTTCTGTTTTTCCGCCTCGCGATCATCCATTTGCCAAATATCAGTCGCCATGGTCATAACCTCCTCTTGGGAAGGCTCCACCGGGAACGGATTTTTGTATGAACATAAGCTTGTCTTTGCCCCATACCTTCCACAATCGAAGCATACATCAAAGAGTCCCTCATAAGTGATCATATACTCCACACCCTCCACTTTGTATTTTGAAAGAAGTGGTTTCGTTAAATCAACCTCCACGCAAACCCGAGCGTAGTTCATCCTCGCTCCATCAAGCGTGGATTTATCAACTCTCACTGGTTTGCCGATCCGCTCCGCAATACGCATGATCGCCAATTGGTTGAAAAACTCCAGAGGTAGATCGGGTAGCTGAATCCATACCATGGTTGACTTTGTTTCTGCTTTCCAGGGATTGAAACCCATATACCACCTATGGACAGTCAAGTAGGTTTCGCCAAGCAACCACGGACCCCCTTCAACCGCCAGTTCATAATCCTCCTTTCCTTTTTAAACCTGACCAAGAAGCAGCCATTCTTCATGTCCGATATTTGAATGTCACCATTCCGAGCCCAAAGATAGTTCAAGCGTTTAGCGAGGAGAAGATAAGGGACTTTCCTACCCAGCCCTTTCACCACTAGCGCTGAACGCCATACCCTCCTCATTGATCGTTTCTCAGCCGCAGTGAATGCCACAGTCGGGCAGGCAGCCAGGGTCCTCCTCCTACTCCTCAATGATCAGGTCGTCCTCTTCCTTTTCAGCAGCTGCAATATCCTCTGAATAAGAATCTGCTACATACGAGCCTTCATCTTCCTCCATATCAGCAAAGAGTCGTCGGCCGCTCCTCCAGGCTCCACGAGCTGTCCCAGCCTCAAACA